ACACCCCTCTCCTTCCCCCCCACTCCCAACAGTCCCCAAGCTCCAGCCCTCCACCCCTACCCCCATTCCATAGACTTGTCTGTATCCAACTACTGGAACTTCTCCCACTGTCCTGCCTGGCTGTATCTCAGCCATGTGCATATGCACAGGCTTGTGGCACCCCCTGCCTCCATTCACTCTTCCCCCACTCCCCTGAGGCCCAAAGAGCCCCTTGCAGGCTGGAAAGCTGCCAGTCTGCAAGAGAAAACCTGCTGTTTTCTGCTTCAATGAAGAAAATTTGCGTTCCTCTCCTTCAAAGGAAAAAAATCCGTGATTTTCTCCTTTAAAAAGGAAAACCAGCATTTTTCTACAGAAAACAAAAAAGCCAGATCCCTGGTGATGAGGTAGAGAGGATCAAGGCTTTAACTACTAGCCTAGCACTCTCAGCCTGGGCTCTGAAAGTCTGAAACAGGAACCAATGGAGCATATCAGAACTGGAATGGCATGCAAAAGTTCTATGAACATGCTTTCTTAATTATTTTTTAAGATCTTACCATCTCTGGAATATACACCATATATTCTTATATACACCATGCCCCTGGATATAATACACACCCTAAGCCAAGCACCAGGTCTGATCCCGCATGCTGGCTCTGAAGCTGGTTGAACCCAACACACCAAGTTTGGGACCACATGCTGGATCCATAACCATGTTGGACTGGACTTGGCATGTCTAGTCCAAGGCCATGTACCAAATCTGATTCTACATATCAGCTCCAGGGGCATATGCTGGGACTGACCTTGTGTACTAGCTCTGGCCTCGCATGCCGAGTCCAAGGCCACACACTGGCTCCAGTCATGTACTTGGCTCTGCAGTTATGTGCCAGATCCAACCCAGCACAGAGCCCCAGAACCAAAATGTGTTGTCATGGACTCCAGCGTGCCAGGTTCAGGCCATGGACCAACCCTGTGCATCAGCCCAATTCAGTGCACGGGTAGTGGTGGGATCCCCATGAGTATGGAAATTTGGTATGAAAGGGAAGGAAGGAAAGGAACAGTGGCAGCACTAATTCCCAGAACTACTCCCCTCCAACAAATTTCCTGACCCATGCAAATCCCTTTTCCTTGCATATAATGCGTACCCCCAATTTTCCCCAGCTGGTTTTGGGGGAAAAAGGTGCAGGTGATATACAAGAAATAAAAGTATTCAAAACCTTCAGGAGTACTCTTCTACTTAAACACAATACCAGTTCCCATAAACTTTGCCAAGAGGAATGATGGCTCTCTTTTTAATGATCAAAAATTTTAAAAAAAAGTTTCCCAGAGAGCCCTGTTCTGAGTGCAGATTTTCCAGATTAAATTGTACATGCTTTTCTATATTACAATCAATCAGAGCTAAACTCCATTAAGATCACAGCACCCCTGAGCAAGGCACAGTACAATCAATCACAACCTCAAATAGTTTATGGGTTAAGCGAGACAGAGACAGAGAGAAGTGATCACCGTAAAGTGTACTTAACAGCTGGCAAACAATTAAAAACTGATAACTGAAGGTTCCGCTATTTTAAACATTATCAGCCCATAACTCAGTCTATCCAACTCTTCTGTTCCAATCAGTACTTAATATTATTGAGGCTTGTACTAAAAGTACAGTGCCAAGTACAATTTATAAATTAACCATCATTGCCTGCTATGACTTTTTAAAATTCAAATCCTAATACTATAAGAAGAAAATTACTCAAGAGGGAAAGAAAAAAAAAGTCAACAGGTATTCTAGTAATATTTCCATTTCCTGTATTCAAGGGGATGCATGGAAAAAATGCATCTGTGTCTGATTTGGTAGAATGTGCTACACAACATAATCATTAGTTAAAGACTACTTCTCCTCCCTGGGAAATAAACTGTACTCAACATGCAGACTGGAAAAACATGAAGGTAAGGCTAATGTAATGATGATAAGAAACTATATTTTATCAGTACACTGATCTGATTTAAAACATTTTATTCATCAATGTACTTGCTTACATAATCTATTCTTAACACTTTGGCTATATGGTCTGCCAATGCGTTAGACACCCAAATCATATGCCAACAGAAATCTAAACTCCTCATTAGGTACTATTCCTTTCATCTTTTGTCGTTGTTTTTACAATACCCAATTGTTTTGCTGGCGGACCAGGTTATTTGGGTAACTGTGATATCTTTTATTAAACCAACTGAATAGTTGGAAAAAAATTTCTCTGTAAGCTTTCAGGAACAGGCAACCTTCTTCAGGCATAGGGAGAGTCTGCCATTGTTCTCTCTATAGTTAAATAGAAGCTTAAGCCAATAGGCAAAATGCAGGCTGTGAAAATGCAATTGCATGGCCAGGAAGATCAGAGGGGATAGGAGTTAATGGGGGTGTGACAGATAGCTTGGGGGGGAAGCAGGAAACAAAAGAAGGGAATGTAGCCAGTAAAATGTAGAGAGGTTACCTGGGGTTACTGGATGGCAGGCAGGTTTATAATGTGATGTAATTCCAATTACTGGAATAAGAAATATAAAGCCTGCCAACACATCTCTACCACTCCCACAACAGAATCATCACTAGACCTGGATCTTACCCCTGCACCTCCAGAAATGTAATACAGCTAATCCAGTGCAATGAATGCCTTGATGGAAACTACGTAGGAAAAAACAAACCACTGTGTACCAGAACGAATGCACACCAAAAATCTATCAAATAAAAATACTCTATTACCTGCGGGTGCATATTTCTCACAAGACAACCACTCTCTCCTCAGTCTCTCAGTTTCAGTCTTCAAAGGGAATTTACAAAATACCTTTCCTAGACAAGCCTACAAACTTCACTTCAGAAATCTACCAGATACAAAAAATCACGGACTAAATATAGACACTAGACTTATGGCACATTACAATCTGCCTGCCATCCAATAACCCCAAGTAACCTCTCTACATTTGACCAGTTAACATTTCATCACCTGTTGACATTCTCCTCTTTTATTCCCCCTGCACCTGTCTTACACCCATTAACTCCTATCCCCGCCGATCTTCCCTGACACGCATTTGCATTTTCACACACTTGCATTTGGCATATTGGCTTAAGTTTTTATTTGACCCCTGAGAGAACACCAGCAGACTCTCCAAATGCCTGAAGAAGGATATCTGTGCCCAAGAACTTTCAAAGAACAATTTTTCCAACTATTCAGTTGGTCTAATAAAAGATATCACAGTTACCCACTTAATCTTGTCTGCCTATGTGCTTAGATCAATACGGCTACAACCAACACCCCTAAAATATGATTGTTTCATATTTGGCATACAAGGTAAAGATGATACACAATGGCACTAGCTGGACTTGAATAAATATTAATTTGCACATTTCTATCCTTGGACATTGGTACTATATAGACTTGTGTTATACCCAGGTAAGGCAATTTGAATACCTGTAAATAGTTGGAGTTCTAAACATAATTTGACAGTAACAAATGAAGTATAAAAGCCTAGGGAAAATAATCTAATGAATAAGTAATTTTATATATGGCATATATAATGAAAGCTATTGAGTTTTATGAAACATTCTTACAAAAGAAAAATGTATATTGCCTACTACCCAAGATTAAAACGATTAACTATATATTATTATTCAGTCAGACTTCTATTAAATTAAAATCTGCATTTGCATCATGGCAAGGGGGAGTAGGGAGAGGAACATTAATATATTTATCCAGTCTACTTATTATGGAAAAGTGCTAGGAATTTTTCAGTAATTCTTACACTACCATGTAATATGTTTTAATAGGTTGCTTTAAATGAGGAAACGTTAAGGGAAATGAAGTTCATTAGACTACAACATACAGGTTTAACATTAAACAGAACAAATGTTACTAGATACTTACAATGTGCAAGAGCTTTAGCACATCCACAAACCTGTTTGAAAAGCAACAAAAAGCAAACCATTATGTTTGAACTGTTGTACTGAAATAAATCAAAATAAGTATCAAGTTCAGAACTGACACTTACACTTTTTCTGAGCTCATAATCTCTTTAGCGATATGGTAAACTTTTGTTTTCTTTTCAGCTGCCTTACTCTGCAAATAAAATGATAACATTATTCTGTGCTCACGACACACATGTAACAAAGATCAGTTTCAAGCAAGTAACGCCTCAAATCCAATGTTTATATCCCCCACTCCCAAATTTCCTACTAAAAAAAATTTGTGGCATAAAGGCCATGGGTGGGAAATCAGCCATGCAAGATACAGCACAAAGATGGACCCTGAATTTCCATGGAGCCCCAAAGAAGCTACCTAAGTGAAGATATCCATTTGAACAGAGCAATTTATGGGATTAGGGCCAAAATTTTAACATGGTGCAGGACATAAGTATAGTAAACAAATAGATGGGAAGGACAGAACGATGTTCATATGCAACCTAATTGTGTGTGCCATATAAAAAAAGAAATTAGCAGTTCTAGTTTGCCAAGTGCCAGTCCCAGTTACTGGCTACAATATATCTATAATATATTCAGGTTTAATTAAAATAGGGTGTGGAGGAAGAAGCGATGTGGATTAATAAATCCTAAATAATCAGATACATAACCTATAGAACAAAAAGCCATCTGAAGTTCTGGTGGAATCATATTCACTGTTGCAATAAAGTACAGGTAATAAATTCATGTTAACCTTAGATATCATTCCACTGATATACATTTGTTAATTATTTTAAAAATAAGATGGCAATATTATTTCTTTTCCTCCTTCAGCACTATGCCAAAGAAAGGACAGTAATGTGATTATCATGCTGTACATTTTTATTCCAGGCTATGTACTTTCAACGTCATATGGCATTGAAACCATATACAACACATTTATTATTCTGGTGTCACAAGACACTACCTAATGCAATAAACAAGCAGAAGAGATAGAACAGGGGATTCACAACCAGAGTGTCATGGCACCCTGGGGTACTAGGAAACACTTTTTGGAGTGAGGAGATAAAGAGAAAAGGTAGGTGTGAGGAAATAAATGGAGGTTCAGGCTCCAGCCTGCCTGGCTGCTCCTCAGCCTCTGCTGCCTAGACCCTCTGCAAGGAGGTTAGTATTATAATACATAAATTAGTCTTTGAAATGGGGTGCTGCCCAATTCATAAATCTATGGAGGGGTGCCTTGAGTCTAAAAAGGTTGAGAACCACTGAGATAACAGGTAACAAAACTGTGACTATCTGAGGGGTTAAATTTTGAACCTTTAAGCAATTTATGCAAGTTACAATGGGCAGGTCTACACTTTGCCCTACAGCAACACTGTTACTGCACCATGCTTTAGTACTTTTTTTGGAAGTACCAAAACAAGGTGCAGTAACCACCTGTATTGCACCGTATGTGCAGCGCACGGGGTTTTTTTTGCAACCACTTTGCCATAGCAGCACGCTATAATGGGGGAGCATGCTGCTATGGTGAAGTAACTGTTGGTCATGTGCAGACACCTATGGGTGCTACATCGTTGTAGAGCATTGCTATGGTGACGCAGAGTCACGTGTAGATGTGCCCAATGCAGATGTGCTTCAACATCCTGCATAACACAACAATTTCTTCTCCAGGTAAAAAGCAACTAGAAGTTTTATTACTATATTAGGGACTGAGAGTATACTATTCAGTTAAAAATATAGTCTGCAGGGCTGTGAAATAGGAGCTACATTATCAGGAGCAGCTAACTGGCAGCTAAATTGCAGAAGAAAGGCTAGCTTGATTAGTGGAACATTAAAACCATTAAAAAGGAGGGTTGTTAACACCTGTGGAATGAATTTAGAAGAAATCAGGTAGATTTTCATGAGCCAGGAAGTCTATTCATGTTCTCACTGCTGCCCAACTAGAAATGCTGCCAAGCAGCTGGTTTCAGGGAGGCCCAGAAATCAAGAGGCATCCAACTGCGCCAGCATGCTCTCCCTGGCTCCACACCTCATTGGAATCAATAGCATTGTATGTAGACCATTGTTCCACAGGTATAAGCATTCTGAACACTACCACCTCATGCCTAGCTCTCCTTTAAACAGAAACCAGCATATAATTCTTGAGAGTTTAAAATCAAATTGTAGCATCCATGATACTGACAGGTAGGCCTAAAAATGAAATACCCCTTTGAAAGAAGACATTAAGGCTCTGGATGGATGCAATGCTTGAAGTGCTCCAAACTGCAAACATGCAGACATGCTGTAATACTTCCAAGTGATCCTTAAAAAATAAGGAACAACTTTGCAGTGCTTTTTTTTTTTTTTTAAAACACTTCCTGGAATGTCTGGACAGTCAGAGTGCAACAGGAGAGCTGATGGGTCCCTTGGCATCCCACAGTGCTCTGCCCTTCCCCCCCGCCTACAGGGGGAGGGGCTGAAGCCGGGTCAGGTGAACAGCCAATGAGTGCTGTCCTGTGCACTCTGTCATCCTTGATAATCTCATGCAAGGAATCATTCAAGGAATTCCTTTCTCCAACACCAGGGCTGGAGAGAAGTAACCTGACCTGCCTCTAATCTCCTGGTTTGGTAGGGGACAAAAGAACAGTAGAGACTAAACAGGATCTCCCAGTTCTAGTGGGAAGCATACTGCCATCCTTAGCAATCTCTGGAGTCCAAGACCCATGCAATTGAACCCGTCTCTTCAGCTTCAGGGTTGGAGAGTATGACCCTGTGTGTGGCACTTTATGCTTGGAACTGGGAGACCAGAGCCTGAGTGCACAAGGAAGCATGCATCAGCTGTAAATCTGACTCTTCCTCCCTACTGCCTGGGTTTGGGGGCAGACCTAAAGGACCAAGCAACACTTTTGTCACTCCCCCCCCCCGACCGCAGAGCACATCACTGCATGGTACTGCAGCGATTCAAAATCACTCTGCTGAATGTTTGTCCATATCCTGAAGCATTCCGAATCTGAAGCACACCAAACCAGAGCAGAATATGGAGCGTTTCAAATGTACATCTGTCCATGGCCTAAGAGTGAAATTCTAGGTCTGTCTGCCATTGATACAAGTTATATGTGTATTTGCCATAAGTCCAGCTCATCATTAAAACTACATTCAGACAAAACGATGGTACAAAACTTTCTATATCTTGATGGAAAAGAGAATCAACAAAGCATGTGTTGCCAACACTAGGTAACTAACAAATGAAATATATATTTTTTTTAAATGATGCAATTGTAAAATACCAATGCAAATTAAAGTTCAAAATAAGATATCACTGCCCATCATTTCTGACCCCATTTGGAATAAAGCTTCTCATGGCAACTAATGCTGAAATCCTAGGATTCAAAGTTTTGACTCTTGATTTCTCTCAACTGAAAACTGAGGCATTCTTCCTCAGTCATTGTATTTGAAGAAACATTTAGTGTACCCACTATATTGGATAAAAAGCATAAACTTAAGTCTGGATGTTTGCAAAGAAAAACAAAACAAAAATAACTAAACAGCTGATCACTGATGTAAAGATAATTTCCTTTTCCTCTACAGCTGCAAAAACTGTGAGCAAAATTTTAGGCAAGAAGCAAATTGCTAGTAAAGTTAATCTCCAGCTGTCAAATCCATGTGCCATAGGCCAGCTGAAGCAAGTTAAAAAAACAGATGGTTCAGCCACCCGTTCTGAGCTGCACCACAGCCAGCTAACATTCAATGAAATATGAGAAGTTTCATAACAAATATGTGCTCCAACTCTGCATTCCTAGAAATCTCTCTCAAACTTTTGCAAAAGACTTTTTAATCAAGAAGAGTTAGCTTATACAAATGCACATAATTCTAATCATTTCCATCAAAACAGACTGTTCCCTCTTTCTCCCTTCCCAAACATTTCTCCAGATAAATGTTGATTCCCTAAAATCAGAGTTCAGAGCACTAGTAGGAAATTCAAACTTGTTACAAGGTTTTACCTACTTAAACTTTTTTCTAACAACATAAAATCCGTATCAATTATGTCCCATAATATTCCACTGTGGAGCAAAGGGATAGTTCACTTGGAAGGAGGTGAAGAAACAGTAATCCCAGCAGGTCAGAAGGCAGAGGCCAGACTACACTAGAAGGCTGAAGGGAACTTCTAATGCTTATGAGAGAAGATAAGGGGCATCCACAGAAGGGCGAGAGATGGACAATACCCCAGATGCTCATTTGATTTAAAAAGAGAGAGTAATTATACTACCAGAACACCTTTGGCTTGAAGAAGGAACAACAGACAAGAACTATATGGGACTGAAGTGCAGGGAGGAGTCTTCTAAACTATCCTATCCAGTACACACAGAAGCTAGGAGAGACCAGGCCTTTGATGCAAATTAGTGGCTTACAACTCACTAGGACACTTACGGCAGAACAGGCCCACTAGAATGCCTACAAGTAAAATGCCTCCAAAAAGTTCTTCTAGTGAATCCACAAAACAAACACTGTACTGCGCCAGTATGAAAATAGTGAATTGAGAAATTTAAATGAATAATAATCCAGCAAAATAAAAATCAGTCGACAAGTAAAAACCTCTTTAATGTCATCTGCTCCATGATGAGTAGATACAAGCAGGAAAGGCTATGACTGAGGGCCAAAGCTTGCTGTTAGAACCGAGAAATAGGGATTCAACACTAATTCCAATACAGGGAGCTGGTGTTTCAAGCTACAGGAAAGCACGAGCTGAAAACCAGTTAAGAGGCAGGATGCTTTATTCCCTCAGTGCCAGAAAGACAGTGTCTACACTACACATGCAGCAAAAACAGTTAACTTATTTGAAAAATACATGTGGCAGGACGTACTAATTTAAGTGTTGCCTGGAAAAACAGAAGTTATTATAAAGTAGCCATTTTCTTCAAACACAGAGCTGAAACACATCTACACTGTAATAGTTTTATTTACCCCTACCCCTTCAAATTGCTGAGCTGCTTTTGGACTGGCCAGAGCAGGTCTAGCTCCCCATTCACTGGTTCCCCCAGTCTTGGTCAGTGGTTTCAAGTGTTTTCCAGCGCACCAAGCAGAATCCTGAAGGCCCATGAAATTGATATTTTATTAATGGTGCAATTTGATACATGCAAATAAAGCCAGTCAAGCCTGCCTGTTTCACACAGACTTAAAGAGGTATT